CCACACTGAACTGTTATTTCCTTTTCGCTTGAGAAAACTTTACGCGGCCCATTTGGTCTTGGGCCCAAGAAGAATGAGCAATGCCATCCGCGCTTGGCACTTTGGCAGGACGAGGCCCAAACTCTTTTCTTTTGTGGGGTGGGGGAGGGGGTCTCTGCACTGTTGCTTTGCATGAGTGTGCATGTACATTCCACTCAAATCGGTCAAAAAGAAAAAAGAGTCTAGTGCGCATGTACTGCTAGGATAAACGAACTCACATAAAATTGGTTAGTTTGAGTGTCTATCATATAAACAATTCAATTTTGTCGCTCAGATCCAATTTGGCATCCCCTAAAACTTGAGCTCCCCGCCTGGGATCAGAGGGTAGCATGAGACCATGGCATCAACTGTTAGCACCGACGGAGCTAGCATCGGATTATGCCTGCAGCTTAAGCTAGCTTCAGTGATCCACTCTAGTGATTTTGTATATTTTGTAAGAAAAAATTGCAAAGGCCTAGGGCTATAGGAGAGCTCCTCCCCGGTGCCTATAGTGCCAGGAGAAAGAGCTGGCGCTCACGCACGTATTAACCGGGCCGTGGCCCATTAAGCGCTTCTCTTCTCACTTGCTCTGGTCTTCACTCGCTAGGGTCATTGTTGTTCGCCCAGGTCTTCGTGTTTGACTAGTCGCAGTCGACCGGGCCTGTTGACTTTCTGACAAATTTTTTCTTAAAAAAAAAAATTCACAAAAAACAAAAAAAAATCACCGAATTTGAAGAAAGTTGGCAAATTTGAAGAAGGTTCATCTTTTTTTAAGAAAGTTGACGAATTTGGGAAAACAAGTTCATCAATTTCGAAGAAAAGTTCACAAATTTTAAAAAAACTTCATCAAAGTTGCAAACAGTTCATCAAATTTGAGGAAAAAGTTCATAAAGTATGAAAAAAAGATCATCGAGTTTCAAAAAAGTTGATCAAGTTTGAAAAAAAGTTCATTGAGTTTCAAAAAAGTTCATCAAGTTTGAGAAAAAGTTCATTGAGTTTGAGAAAAAGGTTGATCGAGTTTGAGAAAAAGTTCATCGAGTTTGAAAAAAGTTCATCAAATTTGAGAAAAAAATTCATCGAGTAAAAAAAATTCATCGAGTTTGAAAAAAAGTTCATTGAGTTTCAAAAAATGTTCATCAAATTCGGGAAAAAGTTCACCAAATTTGAAATATAAAGTTCATCAAATTTGAGAAAATTTCATCGATTTTGCATCGAACCAGGAAGAAAGAAAAAAGAAAAAGGAAAGAAGAAAATGGGAAAAAGGAAAGATGAAAAAAGTAAAAGGAAGAAAAGAACGAGAAAAGATGCAGGTAATCAAATTAGGCTCGGTGGCGCGGTTGTGAGTGCAGTGTACGGCGAAGGAGGAGGTTGCCTGTTCGAATCCCAACACACCTGCTTTTCTTTTGCTTTGCATTTTCAAAAACAGAAAAAGCCCATATAGGATTTGGCAGGCTATATAGCTCCAACGTCTCCGCCACTGCCGGATGTAGAGGGCTTGTTTGCCGCTATGTCCACCAAGAAAATGCCACGCCCTCTGTTGCTCATTCCCACCTCCCGTTCGAGGCGGCGAGGGCTAGCCATTTCTTCTTCTCATCATCAGCAAGATTTATTGCTTCGCGCTCCGTGTGGGAAGGAAGGCCCACACTCATCGGCACCTTCCTCAAGTTCTTCACGCCAGCAACAATTTGTTCGATGCCTTCCCCTCCCTTATACCACCACCAGCAGCCTCCCCATCCTCACTGATGACGGGAACACGCTACGTTGGCCATCCCTTATTCTGCCCGACGAATCAATTGCTACCATCACCATGCGAGGAATGAGATGCACATCTCTTCCACCGACATATGTTCTTTTCTGTCGATCTTTGTTCGGACACATTAAAATATTCACTAATACGGACTAGAAATCCAATTCGGATGAAGGAGCATATTGTGTGAATGATGTACTTCCTCCGTAAAGAAATATAAGAGCGTTTAGATCACTTACTTGCTGATGGGTTGACAAGGTATTGCCAAGTGCAGTCAGAGTTAGTTTTTCCAACAGCAACATTGCTTTATTGATTCCATTAAATAGTTCTTCTCTACATTTTGACTATTGTTTGTCTAGGTATATTTTTGTTATCTATAGAAGTTTCATAAACTTCTTTACACTTCTAGATTGTTTGATTGCCCCACTAATATTTGACATGGCGTTCAGAGCTTACACGATACCAAAAATTTCACTATATGGTTACATGTGAACTATTCATAACACATTCATCTTTGAATGGGTCATTCCCAATGTGCTATTCTTTTTCCTGCGAATCATGATCTTTAGACCTATGTAGATTCACATTTTTTGGATGGAAGAACTGAGCTATGGCTTATGCAACTAAAGTTGGGATCAATATTGGAGCTATATTACTTACTATTCATGTTCTTGCCTTTGTTTTCTGTATTATATAAATTACCTTGTTGTGAGGAAAGGGAAATCGCCTGATGGAAATTCTTCCACCTTCATCTGGATTTAGTATTCCTTTGAGAGATATGCACTTGTTATTTGAGCTCTTATATCTTTTCCTACATGATCAAAAATACTGATAGACTATTATATTTTTTTGCTTTTTGTTCAGGCATTGCCTATTTTTATTTGGTCAATATAGTTCTATTGTGACATTGTACTCCCAATAGAGCAATTATAAGACTAAGGCATACACAATGTTCATTAAACTAGATTTACAATGTAAGCCTAAGAGAGGAGGTAATATTCATTAAAAAAGACCAACTACCTTGTACCTTTAGCTCTTATACTGAATATAAGAATGTCAAGCACCACCACACTATGCTTTTTGATACGACATGCATGCATCCCAAAGTGAAATGAAGTTGCTTAGCACACAGATGACACACAACAAAGGAGAAAATAATTGTTTAACATGATAAAGAAAAACAGGTGTGATAAAGGTGCACATTTGCTTCTACTTTCCCCGTCTCACAATATAAAATCGTTTTTCAAGCGAGTAGTTTCTACTATTTAGTATTTCGGGCTATCCACAAGAAAACGACTCGACGACATGACGAACGCACCAATGCGCACAGTGCTCTCAGCCTATCACACTCATTTCTCTTTTCAGTTGTTTCAAATCGACAGATTTGATCCCTTCAATCTACGTTTCTCTTTATCAGTGGTGATTGTTGTTCTGGTGTATTGATCATGTGGGAGCTTAGCACGACGGGACAATCTACTGTAGCAAGGTTTGCCCGGCTCTGGCGGGGGAGGGCGATGACGGTAACGCGTCTTCGGCTCGCTCCAATGTTTGTAGTCGTTGCCAGTTGATCCATGGATTTGTATGTACTTTTCGTTATTTTTACTGTATATAATACCACCGTGACGGATTATGAATAGATGGTAAGTTTCTATCTGGAAAAAAAATCAAATAAACAGTAGTTTTTCCATGTTTTTTTTCACTCTTTACTTCGGACTTTGACGTATACTATGCCATCGGATACTTCGTTGGAGTAAATTGCCTTTTTTTTTTGCCATTTCTTACAAGTGGGTCCCACGTGAAATCCCGCAAATGCCCCTGCCGACCCACTTGACTGACACTGGAGAAGAGCTCGATCGTTCCCCATCTCTGTCGTCTCGTCGGCGACGCACTCCACGGCGGCGGGGAAGCACCGGTGCTCCTCCCCGGCGGCGCACGGTGAGTCCTCTTCCACCTCTCCCGCTCACCCTTGTCCCCGGGGCGGAGACCTAGGGTTAGGTTTAGGAGCTCGCCGCCGCCCCGTGCCCCTGCTGGCCGCCCGCCCCCCGCCCCTAGGTCGTCTACCGCGTCCTCGACCTAACGGAATGTGCTGCTGCCGCTCCCGTTCGTGGCCGGCCCGTGCTGCTCCTGCTGTTCGGCGCTGGCAGCACACTGCTGCTGCTTGCTCGGTTGTTGCTGACCGCCTAACATGATCACCGAATCTGGTGCAGGCATGGGGAATTTCGCGTCGAGTGACGCTTCTTCTTCAGTCAAAGAGGCACAAAGGGTATCAACAACCAGCTTCACGCCCAAGGACTCAAGGAGGAAGCACTGGGACTCTGGGAGCATTCAGGGTATGCTTCACCTCTTATTGGTTGAGCAGTTGTTAGATTCCTAATTTGATTGGTGAATCAGATTGGTTGGAGACGGCGGAATTGGTTGGGCCGCGGCTTTACAGCTGCCGCCATTGCCGGAACCACGTCTGCCTCCACGACGATATCATCTCCAAGGACTTCCAGGTGAACAACTTCAACAAGGATTATTTATTTATTTGGTGAACAACTTACTTTGGCCCTTGCATTCGGGATCAAGATTGGGCAGAGCTTAATAATCAATAAATAGGAACTTAGATGGACCAGTCAGTTATGTTGGACTGGTTGGGCATGTCATGCTAAATTACTAGTAATATCAAATATCAACTAGGGACTTTAAATAGGCCCATTCATCAACTACGATTCAATCTGAGAGCCTTTATGTAGCTGAGTTTAGCTAGCATTTGTGTTTCTATACTTGCATAGCGGAGTTAACCAGAGATACTACTGTGATCTATCTATCTGTACCAGCAGTTAGTCATCGGAGGCTGTCATACAAGCTCCATTCAGATGTTGAGACCTCGATATGCTATGATCTATCCATCTCAATTTTGATTGTGTTTGGAGGATAAATACATACTGACACTTTAAATAGGTTCATTCTTCAACTGCAGTGGAGAGGTCCAACAATACAATCTGAGAACGAAGTTTAGCATTCGGGTTTCTGTACTTACATAGCAGAGTTTCACTTAACCAAACAGAGATGTGTGATCTATCCATACCAGCTTCAAATGTCAAGACCTCGATACGCCACGATCTGTCTATCGCAGTTTTGCTTGTGTTCGGAGGATAAATACTAGTAGTACCTTTGTTCTTCCGGCTGCTGTTGCAGGGAAGGAATGGCCGCGCGTTTCTCTCCTACCACGCCATGAACGTCACCACAGGGGCCAAGGAGGACAGGCAGCTCATGACAGGGCTCCACACGATCGCCGACATCCATTGCCGTGATTGCCAGGAGGTGCTCGGGTGGAAGTACGAGAGGGCCTATGAGGAGTCCCAGAAGTACAAGGAAGGCAGGTTCATATTTGAAAAGGCCAAGATCATGCAGGAGAATTGGTAGGCAAATAAACTTCAACAAACAATGTGCCAGCCAGAATGCTCTTATGACTTTGTACATAGCAGTCCGTCCGTATTGTTCTTGAACTAGCAGTCTGTTGGTCTTATTTCCATGCCATTTGTAATTTGTTGTGTGCGGAGACAGAATTATGTTCATTTGTGTGGGAACCATTTTCTCATTGATCATACATACATGGGATGGTTTAAACAATGTGTGGTTGTATTTCCCCAATTTTATTGTGCTTCAGCATCAAATTAAGTGATGTGTCAAGGGTTGGTCGGTACCTTGTTCAGACTAATTGCATTTTCTCATTTGGCCAACAAACAGATGTCTCATGACAAGCAACATAAAAACATTCATCCGAATATCCAAGTGATTTAAACCTTTTTTCACGGCAATAGCCATTCGGTGTGAACGGTATGAGATAGTTTCTATAGTAAATTTGCTAGTGAATTTACATTCAAAAGGTGTTAACCTCTTTGGTAGTTTACTGCAGCTCCACTCAGCTGAAGGAACAGAAATATAATATGTGGCCATGCAGAATATAGCAAATAACAATCCCCAGGATGATGGTATGTCAAATAGCTGCTCAAGTCCTCACACCTAGTAACAGAAAGAGTTTGCACACACAAAAGGAAAACAAGCAGCAGAATTCTGCAGAGGGAAACGCTATTAAGGATATACCATCAATTCAATAGGGTGACCGCATGGGGAAAGACAATAGTGCAAACTGAAGAGAGTAGTTACTTCTGATTTCTAACCAAATCTGTGAAGTTTACAGTTCTCTGAAATCTAGCAAGTTAAGTGGTTGTTGCTGAAAAAGGGCATTCTAACAAGAGAGGATCTTCCCGGAAGAAACTGGAAAGGTAAAGATACTAGATGTAGTTTTTGTGATTGTGGTGAATCTGTTTAGGGTGTGGTTAAGAGCTCTAAAGGCTTTGAAGAGTGAAGACATGCCTGAAAATGTAGATGGTTTTAGCTTCTGGATAGAGAAATTCTCTAGTAGCTGTGTGTGTAGCTGCAGTATTCTGGACGTTGTGGGAAGTCGGAAATGTGGCTAGCTTTGATCATGTTTACTCGTGTGATCCCAATGTCATTGCTTTTCAAGTCGCTCATCGGTTGTCCTATTGGTCCAGATTGGGAGCTGCAGGCCGTGGCGTCGCTGCTATCTATAGTTCCCACGGATTTCCTGAACACAAGCAAATGATGACCGCCAATGACTCGCAGACTGGGAGTGGGCTGAAGTTCCTAGTTCGTTGGCCGGTGTTATTACATCAGGTTTCGTCTTACTCACATCCAATACTCTAGTAAATAACAGAAAAAAAACATAGCAGCAGACAGGCTACGCCAACCGTGAAACTCTAAATGATGAAGCTACGGAACAAACAACCAGCCAACATCTAAACAGTAGCAAATACAGGACTTCAAAAATATTATCATATACATACATAGACAACTAAGAACCATCAATATCCATTACAATACCTTCAAGCATGGAAATACAGGAGTCCCATAAAAGCTATGCCAACTGTGAAGCTCTAAGCGATGAAGCTACGGAACAAACAATCATTACAACATCTGAGCAGTAGCAAATACAGGAGTTCAAAAGTATTATCATACACACATAGAAAATTACAAATCATCAATATACACACATAGAAAATTACGAATAATCAATATACTTTACATTGACTTCAAGGAAATAAAAATCTCAGCCTAATATGCTGCTTCATGCTTCTTCGGAGCTCTTGTTACTCAATTTGTAGTTCCCTGTCTGGCCCAGCTTCTCCATGTAATAACGGCAAACACATACACCTGATCATATGTCTGGTCAATGAGGCGAAAGTAAGCAACCCTCCATGCTTTCTTAAACAACAAGACGCAAAACACCACCCAGAGACCCAGAATAAATCCTAGAGCGAGCCCAAAATAGAAGGTCATTGGCTCAAAGGAATGTTCATTACTCTTTTGATTATCTTGCCTTGTTGCATTCTTTCCCGGGCAACTGATTGGAAGAGGAAGCCCACAAAGACCACTGTTGCCGCTGTACATGGAAGGTTGCTGTGTGTAGAGGGTGTCAAGCTGACGTCCTGATGGTATTCTCCCTGTTAGATTGTTATCAGACAGGTCCAAGTAGCTCAAATAAGTTATATCTGATAGGCTCGAAGGGATCCCACCAGAAAGCTTGTTCCTTGAGAGGTCAAGTGATTCCAAAGCCTTCAAGGCCCCAAGCTTAATTGGAATTTTCCCACTCAATTGGTTCCATGATAGATTCAAGTTCATCACCGCATCAAGAGCAGCTATTTCTTCTGGTATTCTCCCAGTTAATTGGTTGAAAGATAAGTCAATGCTCACCAAATCCATAATGTGCAAATCATAATCAAGTTCACGTCCCTTGACGATCACAGAGGAAAAACTATATGTACGCAACTTATGCGAGGAACTGCCATAAGGTATTGAGTCGATCATAGAATCCTTTACATATTTTCCTGTCATGCCCGTCACATTTGACAGATGCCACGGTATGGGACCTGATAAGTCATTGCCTGCTAGGTTCAGATGGTGAAGGTGACTAAGATTTGAGATGGTAGCTGGAATTTCTCCAGAAAACATATTCCGATTTAGACGCAAAAATCGTAATTCAACCAAATCTCCAATCCACAATGGCAACCTTCCAGAAAAACTATTACGTGATAGATCTAGAGCCTCCAATCGTCTACAATCTTTTACAAACGGCGGGAAGTTGCCAGAGAAGCTATTGTTACTCAACATGAGAAAGAAAATGTCCTTCACCCCAAAACACCGAGGAAGTTGTCCCTCGAAAAGATTGTTCCTTAAGTCCAATGATTCCAAGAATTCCGCTTTGCAGAGAGATTCGGGAATACAACCGGTTATTTGATTGGAGACCAGAGCTAATGAAATCAAATGTGGAGTTCCAATGTTTGATGGCAAAGTTCCAGATAAAGAGTTTCTAGACATGTCCAGGGAGGTAATATTTCTTGGTAAGTTCGGGAGTTCACCAGTTAGGTTATTTGAACTGATTGAGAAATATTGCAGTGACATGAATTCCATGTTTCTTGGCAACCTGCCGCTGATTTCATTGTTGGAGATGTCCAGATCTGTGACCTTTGCAAATGTAGTGCTGAACCAGTGAGGAATCCTATCAACTATACCTGTGGATGATATATCCATCAATCGAATGTCCACTTGGAATTGAAGCCATGCAGGAAACAAAGGGCCCAGTTGGCAAGAGCCAAGAGTTATTTCTTCTAAACTGAAGGGTGGTATCCAATCGGGACCAACTGTAATCCTCAAATAATTCCATCTTAAATGCAACCTTCTCAACCTCGTTAGCCTTGTTAAATGTTCTTCAGTGAAGTCACCATTCAAGTTGTTGAGTGTGAGATCCATCATGGTCAAATTTCCGAGCTTACCGATCTCAAATGGCACAGGTTCACTGAGATTGTTGGAAGAGAGATCAAGTCTTCTTAATCTAGAGAGCAGACCCACCCCTCGTGGTATGCCTCCAATTAGGTTGTTCTGAGCGATGTTAAGAACAACTAAGCTGGTTAAGTGTGTTATCCGATCCGGCATGATTCCGGTAATATTGTTGGAACGCAAATACAACTCCTGCAGTTTGTTCAAGGGACATTGGGGCATCCTCCCTATAATATCCTTTATATTTCCATCAATTTGACAATCAGAAAGGTCCAGGATTCTCAGATTGCATAGTTTTCTGAAGCCTGTAGCCATCCTTCCCATGTTACTAGATGACAAATAAAGGACTTGGAGGGACGTCATATGTGCCAGTGCATCAGGTGCTTGACCGTACAGTTCAGTCTCGGCAAGGTAGAGATGCTGGAGGCCTGTCAAATTCCAAAACCAACTCCGTGCCATTGGGTGGGCAAAAATGTTGCTAGAGAGATCAAGCCTCTCGAGTTTGGTAAGGTTAATATGTGGGAGTGAATGATTTGCGGCTAGAAGAGAGCAAGACGCAAGATCAAGGGCCTTCAAAGAAGGAATCATGTTGAGAACATAAGGCCAATCAACTATTGTGCTGAGGTTTACCGAATTCATTCCAAGATACTGCAAATTAGGGAGGTGTGCTACCCATGAAATGTCTCTTGAGTACATATTTTCTGTGCAAAATTGGCATGAGAGATCAAGATGGTGCAAGTTTGAGAGGTTGCCGAGGTGAGGGGGCACTCTGCCAGAAAATGGTATGCCGGAGAGGTTGAGATATCTCAATCTCGTCAAAGAGCCCAAGAACTGCGGCATACGGCCACTTGGGCCCTCGAGATAATTCATGCTAAGATCAAGGTGCACAAGACGATCCATGGTGAGCAAAGAATTACTTATCTGTCCAACCAAAGCTGTGTCTCTGTAGTACTCATCGAGGATGACGATGTCCCCATCGAAAATGTACGTGTCCACATGCAGATTACGAAGATGAAGCCTAAGGACATGGCCGGTCCTGTTGCTGCACTTGACGCCCCTCCACTGACAGCAGTCTTCCTTGTGCCAAGAGTCAAGGACGCCCATGGGGTCGCTGGTGATGCCGTGCTTCAAGGACAGCAGGGCGTCCCTCTCCCGCGGTATGCAGCTTGCACCGACCGAGCCGCTGGCCGCCCCGAGCTGAAGTGCATCGGAGGCCAGCAAGCCTTCGGCGGCTAGGACGCATATGAGCAGGAGCTCGGCAGTGGTGGTACGCATGGTGGACGATGGGTTCAGCTCTGTGCCGCTAAGAACGGAGTTTTGTGGCAATTGTGAGCAATATTAGTCCATGTTTCTGACCGAGTCCATGTCCCTTGCAGACTGGCAATCTGACGGCAACCCTGTGAGCAAGCATGTACACAGGTTTTGGGCAAGTTCACATCAGGAATCTAGAATTCCACACAATCTCCAAGGCCTGGATTCGTCTACTTGTGACAGTCCACAAGCACCGACGTGCAGGTTAGGCAAGTGAAGAGCACCACATGGTTTAGTAGAGGTGCAGCCTTTTCCTTCCATTTCTCAGCTCACTGAACGATGCATATAAGTGAAGATAATTTCAGGGCAGTTTTAGTGTTTCTTTTAGTCCTTGTTGCTGCAGTTGTCCCTGAGAAGTAGGCTAATGAGAACTTCTGCAGTGTTGTGCAATGATCCAATGGTGAGGAGGTTCATCCAGGATGAGCTGAACAGAACTGGCAAGGGAGCTCAGGGTATGGTGCTTTTTTCATGCTCCTTCGTGAGGATGAAAAAACTGAAAGCAATTTTAATAATCCTAACATTTTATCAGCATTGTCACGCGCAGTTGGAAGCTTTGAGAGCGTACTGTGTTCAACTGGAGCCAGTGTCTGCCGTCAAAAATAAGGCAATGTTCTACCGATCGAAAAGGAAGACTGCAGACAAGGGAGAGAAGCAAGTGAAGCGCTCCAACAGAATCAGTAGCGTCTCTCCTCTGTTAGAACGATGTGAACGCCTGGGATCGTGATAATGTACATGAAAATGTAGAGAAAAAAGAAAAGAAAAAAATTGAATGAAACCTTCACAAAACCGGACTCAACTACATGGCCAACCCAATAGAATCCAAAGGTGGTAGGAGACACACACCCGAGCTCGGCCCCCCGCGTCACCCTCACCTGATCGACCCATGGCGGCGGCGGAGCCCTTCGGCCGGCGGTGTTCTGGCGTGGATCTGGACGGCGGCGGTGCGGTGGCGTTGCCCCTTGGCGGTGGTGACGACCCATGGCGGCGGCGGCCGGCGGCGCCCGGGTGGCCCAGATCTAGGCCCTATGGGCCCGATCTGGGTCGGGGCGGGCCTGCTGGGGTGCTGCGGTGGGTTGTGCTCCGGTGGTTCTGGCGAGCTCCTCACGACAGGGACGGCGGCTGCTGTGCCGCGACTGCTGCAACATGGCGGCGGAGCTTCACGGGCCCGTTCAGGGCTCGGCCGGACATTTGGTCTGGTGTGCCTTTGTTGCTACGCCCGGTTTGCTACCACCCAAGCCGGTGGAGGTTGTTCCCTCCCTCGTGGTTGCGGTGCTGCCGGTCCTTGTCTACGGGTGTCTCGTTTGGGATCTGGCCGACCTCGCTTCGTTGGCCGTGGTGAGACGACGGCGGTGTCCTCGTGACTGTGTTGGCTCATGTTGGTGGGCGGCGGGTGTGGTGGAGCCGAAGGCTAGTCCTGGGTTGTGGGCGCGAGGGGCCGGGAGAAATCCATCTCGGGTCTTGCCGGCACCGACGCGGTGACGCCTGCAGGCGCCGCCATCCTTCTTGAAGGGCGTCGGGTGACCCTCTCCCCCCACTACCCTCCGTGTACCAGGAGAAATCCTAGGATTCGTCTGGGCACAGCAGCGTCGTCATTGTCGCATCCCTTCGTGAAGGTGGTGCTTGGTACACGACAACTCGGTGGCTTTGGAGCGTGGTGGTTATCTTCGGTGGGCGCAGCGGTCGCGGGTTGCCGTAGCTTTAGTTGATCCGGCGTTGTTGGCATTTTTTCTCTTATTTTCTCTTCTATTTTCTTTTGGGCGTGCTTGTGCTGTTAGCCCCAACGTTGATCGAAATGTTGTATCGGGTGGTTGCTATATCTATATAGCGGGGCGAAAACCTATTTCTTCAATGGAATCCAAGGGGGGGGGGCGCATTTGCTCGACCGCCTCTGTGATATGCACGAAATGTCAATTGCATAATAACAATTGTGAGAAAAAGAAAATTAATTCCAAAACCAAACAAGGGCGCAGCAAAACACGTGTTACCCTCTCTAGTGAACAAAAAACTGGCCACTCCTGTTCAGGTAAAAATAAAAGCCGGGCCACTCATTTTTTAGAAGAAAAAAAAGGCACTCACGATGGCTTCCTTGGCGCACAACACGCAAAGAGGCGCGACTTTGTCTCGCCGGTTGCGAGGCGTAGGAACTGCTCACCTCAAGGGTGAAAATGTTCATACATTTGGAGAAAAAATCATGTCGTGTAAAAAAATTGTTTGTGCAAGTTCAAAAAAATGATTGCACCATTCTAAAATATGTTCGGCGCATTTTAAAATGTTGACATGTTTTATAAATTTTGTTAATGATATCTTTGAATAATATTTTCAGCATGTGTTGAAAAATGTTCAACGTCTATTTGAAAGATATTTTCAACATGTATTATTTTAAAAAAAGTTGATCATGTATTGTTTTTAAACTGTTCGATGTTTATATGAAAAATGTTTCACATGTATTAAAAAAGTACAATGTGTTAAAACTGTTTTAAGTGTTTTTATAAAATGTTTAACATGTATTAAAAACTGTTCTTAAAAAGTGTTCATCATGCATTTGACAAAATTTCAATGCATGTAAAAAATGCTCTGTGTTTATACGAAAAATGCACAACATCTACTAAAAGAGTCGACATGTATTTGAACGAAAATACAAATAAAAAACAAACAGAAAGAGCGTAAATAAGAAGAGAAAAATTGGTAAAACCATAAAGGCGCGCAACTGAAAATGCCAACCGGCCACCACGACCAACCCGTCAGCATATTCTCTTCTTTAAATCCTTTAGCAATGTGTTGGCAAACTACAAAGGCGAGCAATTGAAAATCAGTAAGGGATTCAAAGTTAATAATATGAGGATGTTTTTTTTTTTGGAGGGAGGGGGCAATGGCCCCCTCAGAAATTTGTATTATTTTTAGAAACATACATTTTTTTATATCACAGCGTACAATTATACCCTTGTATACTCGCCTTCTCCACTTACCCGAAGCTCTCGCCTCCTCCACCTACCGGAAGCTCTCATCTTCCCCACTGGTCGTCGGACTGGTGGTCCTAGTTGATGCCACCCTGCCACCTTACTCAATTGTTGTGCCTTCTAACAGATGTTTTGAAGCTCACAATTGTCTGCTCTGAATTGGATTAGTATCTGATTAATGTTTTACTCGAGTCTCTAAACTAGCTGCAAAAAATGGAGATTCAGATTGGTTGTAGATTGGTAGATATGAACACACTGAATAACCTGTCATGTTAGCAGCCAAAGTTGTTTTCGGTCTATGATATGGAAATTGGCCAAAATGTTTTAGTACAATTCAGAGTTTTTGCCTCAAAAGTATTCCACCCAATTCTTGCGTCATGTCTTTCCCGCACGATTTCTCCCGCCCGTGTATTTCCCGCCCAATTTTCCTAGCAATGTGTTTTCTGCTAGAAATTTTCCCACCGGATTTCTCATGTAGCATGATTCCCGTGCAGTTTCTCATGTTCGGAAATTTCCCATGTAATTTCTCGTGCCATGTGATTCCTGTCCGATTTCTTTGGCCATTGTGTTTCGTGCCCGATTTCTTCTGCCATTGTGTTTCCCACACCTGAGGTTTTCCTACCATATTTCTCCTGTCGTGTGTTTCCCGCCAAATTTCTAGCGCCACGTGTTCGCCCCCTGATATCTTGTATCTGGTAGTATCCCTCTCTGTTTCCGATGAGCATTTAATCGAATGACATGAAGAATTTAGTTGTAAATAGAAAGACAAGGTTGACTAAATTCACACAATTAGTTGGCATGGACATCACTCGAGTTGGCTAAATCTAGGATTTGGGATGAGGTCGGATAAAACATGGCATGGTCGAGTACCCTAGTTGCTATTAGTTTTCCTCGGTTCATGTGTACAAGCGCCGTATCATGAAAAAAGATATCGAATGATTATTTCTTTCTTACCCGTACATTTCCTGTAATCCTGTAATGTGCAACAACCTGGAAAGCTCCATAAAAGTGCTAAGATTTTTTTAAAGACAAATTGGTATCTATGTGATCAGGTAATCCCTTGTTGCATTATGTTTTTACTGGGATATTGTTAAAGATGACCAACTAGTAATGTGGTCAATTCTGTACATTTCTCCAAGATTTTCTCTCCAATCCAAAAAGAACAAAAGAGAATAAAAAAGCAGGCTAACTAGGGAAATTTAAATAGGGAAATCTAAATACACATTATCGAAAGGGAAACGTTTCACGCCGGGGCGCCGGCCGAAACTTCGGCCGGTCGCACCCACGCGCTAGCTGCTGCTGCTAGTAGGCCCAGCTCCCATCCTTATCCTCTTGCGGTCTTTTTCCCCAGCCGCTCATTTTGCTCTTCTTCCTCCTGCGTCTAAGCTTTTCTCCCAAGCAATCATCGGCAATGGCCCCCCACCACACACCCAGCCACCCGTTGCTGGCAGGTGAGGTCGCCGGCGTCGAGTCGGGGCGGGTTGAGACTGCGTGCCGCAACCGGCCACGACGGACTGCCGCTCGCCTGGGGCGACGGCTTGGCCGTGAGACCCCACACCTCGTTGCCCTTCGGCGTCATGTTGCACGCTCCGACAAGGCCGTGCTACGAGCGGCGACCGGTCACCGAAGAAGACGTGCCCATAGCGAGATGTGTTGCAACCGGCCTTGGCAGAAGCTGGAACCTCGTTGTGGCCTACTACACCCGGTGCCCAGGAGAGCTGCCATCATGGACAGTAAGCATGGTGACCGCGAGCTGCGAGGATGACGTTGTTCCGAGCAACACTACAAACATCGCATTTTTTGTTACATGCTACAACCGGTATCACATTTTGCTACAACCGGCACACCACTCAGCTACAATCGGCGTCGCGTTTTGCTACATCGCACGAACCATCGTCTTTTTGCTACATGCTACAACGGGTGTCGTCAATTGCTACAACCGGTGCCCCATCCGGCTACAACCAGTGCCACGTTTTGCTACATCGCGCGGCCGTCTCATTTTTTTCG